AGTAGCCCTCCGAGAATTTCCTGACGTAGCTTCAACTCCCCAGATGCCGGTTATTTCTTAGTATTTGTCTTATGGCATCTTCCAAAGGCCCCCGTCCGAACTCAGGGCCCCACCTTTCTGGGGGCTGCACAAACACAGGCCCTGGCCCCGGACTCTGAAAGTGATTCAGAGCAGCTCAGAAGGGCTTTTGACCACCAGTGCCTGCCCTGAGCATTGCTGGGGAACCCCAGGCAAAGGAAATGGCAGCGTTTCCTCACTTGATGGCCAACACTAGGCTCCAGAAATGTATTTCAGCCCCTAAATAAGTGGCCTCTTATTTTAGAGTTGCTGAGCTCTCCACAACTCTCTGACGTCAGTGTTTAGCACACGACCCCTATCTAGGGAAGGACTCTTCTCCACAACTCTCTGACGTCAGTGTTTAACATAAGACCCCTATCTAGGGAAGGACTCGCTTGCAGATTCCCATCTGTGCCTGAGGACGGTGACTGCTACAGCTCTAGCAGACAGCCTGGCTCTGGAGGTTAAACCCCCCATTGTTGGCCAAGATCTCAGCTGTCATCCTTTCACAATCCATCTTATCTGCTCCGGTGAGGATCAGAGGACTGCAGTCACCCCTTACGTCCTGCCAGGGGCTGTCCCTGTGCCAGCATGCTGTGGGCGGGGCATCACAACAGGGCGGAGCCTGGACACACCCAGTCCTACGTGTCTTTGAAAACAAAGTCTGTGCCAAGGCAATGTCCCACTCGCAGGCAATGTCCATGCCTCCTGCCTGTATCCCAGAGGTACCCAATACTCAGATAAGAAGGTGTGGAGGAGAATCCATTAAGCTAGGAGTCAGGTGGGCTGGGTTCTGTTCCTTACCCCTTTCAGTGCCAGGGCAACTGGGGGGCCTGCCCTCTGGTACAAATTGTTCTGAGTTCTAGGGATGAAAAGTGCCTCACGCGGGAAAGTCAAATGAAGTAGAGGCCAAGCAGATTGAGAGCCCTTAACGTAAGAACGAGGGGTCACCAAAGGAAATTAATAGGTAGCAGGTTTAAAACAAAAAAGTGTTTCTTCATGCAGTGCACAGTGAACCCGTGGAACTCCTTGCCAGAGGATGTTGTGAAGGCCAGGACTTTAACAGGGTTCAAAAAAGAGCTAGATAAATTCACAGAGGTTAGGTCCGTCAATACTTAATCGTCAGGATGGGCAGGAATGGTGTCCCTAGACTTTGTTTGTCAGAGGCTGGGAATGAGTGACAGGGGAGGGATCACTTGATGATCACTTGTTTCTGGTCACTCCCTCTGGGGCACCTGGAATTGGCCACTGTCAGAAAACAGGATCCTGAGCTAGATGGACCTTAGGTCTGACCCAGTCTGGCCGTTCTTATGTATGCCAGCCTCTGCCTCCCTGTCTGAAGGAGGAGGAGACAAAATGGGAGTGCAGGTGTCGGGGGCTCCTCTTTCGGAGCAGCTGGGCTGAGGTGGGAGAGCGGCTGTTACTTTGTAATGGCATGAGGTGGCTGTATTGGGACAGCCCCACACATGCATGGTAGGGTTCTGCTGTGCTCTCTGCCTGGCCACCACCAGATGAAGAAGCTGGCCAAAGCTGAGTAGCCCCATCTTCGGGGAAGGGATAACAACCAAGTGCATCCAAATTGGACAATGAGGCAAATCCCATCCCCTTGGATATTTGAAGCCAGACTGTCCCAGCCGCAGTAAGGAGCAATGTTGCACCCTCCGAAAGAGCAAGCACGTGACTGAATAGCCCCTTCTAATTTCTTCGGTCAAGTGGTCTGCTGGAGATGAAGTGGAATAGATGGAGCGTTGTGTGGGGGCCAGCAACTCCTGGGTTCCAGAAATAAAGGCAGGCTGGTATCGCAGGGCGGAGGAAATGCTCCTTCTTGTTCAGGAAGGTAGCCGGAGGGTTTGTCAGCCCAGGGTGGTAGGTAAAGGAGCACATCACATGATAGAACACTGTTGACAAAACGACAACGAAATGGACCCAACGCTCCAATTTCAGGTCAATGGAGAAATGCCCATGGACTCTCATGGGAGCATATAACATGGCGGCATGACTCATCGCCATGGTGCCTCCTACTGGTCTCTCAGGGAATCAGCTCTGGAGTGCCCCCTTCTGGCTGGTGTCACATCTACTGTAAGCTGTTATTCTCCACCACTCTGTGTGAGGGCCCATGTCCCTCCCAGACCATAGCACCCTCCCCTCTGGGTACTGCCTTGCCACAGTGCCCCCACATTCTGGGGTCCTCCCCTTCAGGACCCACTTATGCCCTCCTTGCCTCAGTGACACACAGCCAGTCTTCATCTAGCCCCTGCTTCAGGGGCAAACTGACGTCTGAGATGGCCACTCATCATAGGCAAGGAGCGTGGACTTGCTGCCTTCTCCTGCCCTGGCTGCCTCCCTGCAGCCCAAGCAGCCTCAAGTCTTGAGAGCAAGGCCTCAGCCTGGGAGTTTGCCCGGCCAGAGCTCCCCAGCTCTGCTCTGTTCAAGAAGCCCCCAGCTTCACTGGCAGCCAGGTCCCTCTTGCTCCCCAGCTGGATCAAGAATGAGTCATTATCTGCTCCTCCAGGAGCCCTTATTTTAAGGTGACCAGACATCCTCCTCTGAGGAGGACAGTCCTCCTTTTGAGGGGCTTGTCCTCCCCAATAATTATTTCCTCCTTTGAAAAAAACTGTCCTTCTTGTTCTACTTTGCCAAAAAAAATATATCCTGCTGTTTTTTAAAGTATCATTATACTGCAATTGAACCCTGTTAAAAGGCTTAACATACAGTAAAAGTACACTTAGAGGCTATTTATTAAATGTTATTGTTTATTTTGAGACAATTTAACGTCAATGTGATTTTTTAGTTGACACAATTAACCCTAAAAATGTCAAAGAAAAGAAAATGCCATTTCAATGAGAATTTAAAAAAGGAATTTCCTTTCATCAGAATTGTGGATGAAACCTGAGATGATTCATTAGTGAAGTGTACTGTCTGTTCAGTGGAATTCAGTGTGGCAGAAGGTGGCTGATCCAGCATAGCGAAGCATGTTTCATCAAACAAACATCAAATTCTTTAACATCAGCATCAATGTCCCAGAAAGTTACAGACTTCTTAGGAAGTACATAATTTGGAGAAGATGAAAAGAATTTAGCAGCTGCTGAAGGTCTGACTGCGTGCCACACTGTGATGCACAATCAAAGTTTTCGGAAGCATGGACTGTACATCAAAACTGAATAGAATACTTTATAATAAAAAATTTCATTGTGCCAGAACTAAAGGAGAGGCTATTATTCGCAACGTTTTTCAAACTTACGCACAAGAGAATTTGAAGAAAGATTTAGATGAAGCTAAATTTGTTACACTTCTTTCGGATGCTTCAAACCACAAAGATACAAAGTTATATCCAGTGTTAGTTCGTTATTTCAGTTTTGAAAATGGTATTCAAATCAAAGTTTTGAATTTGGAAGCAATTGATGGTGAGACATCTGAAATAATATCCAATCATATCAAAAAATTAGTGGTTAATCATAATTTGAATGATAAAGTTATTGCGATGTGTGCCGATAACACAAATACTAATTTTGGCGGTGTAAATCGCAAAGGCGATAAAAATGTTCATAAGAATATGATGCACTTACTTGGGAAAACGATTATTGGAATCGGTTGCAATGCCCATATTGTATCTAATGCCATCAATGCAGCATTAAGCTTAATGTTCATCGATGTTGAAGTTGTGATACCTCAAATTTATTTACATTTTGAACGATTCACTGTAAGAATTACAACATTAAAGACTTTTTGCGAAGAAGCCTCAGTTGAATATAAAAAACTTTTGGGATATTTGAAAACAAGTTGGTTAGCTTTAATGCCAGCCATTGAACGAGTGCTGCAATTGTTCGAGCCTTTAAAACCATATTTTCTAAGTTTGGAAAAATGTCCACTGATCTTGAAAAACTTTTTTAAGAATGAATCTGCTGAAGTAACTCTGTATTTTGTTCACAATCAAGCAACTTTGTTCCAGTCAGTTATAAAAAGTATTGAAAAAGAGCATATAACTTCTACAGAAGTGGGATTGCATATTAAACAATTAAAGGAGCAACTTCTATTGCATCTTGAGTCCAACTTCCTTCCATTGGTTGTAATTACTAATTTAAACAAATTACAAGAGAGCAATCCAGGAATGAAGAAAGCATTTACGAGCGAGGTGATGAGCTTTTATAAAAATGCTCTTGAATATCTAGAAAATTGGACTAAGCATGACGAACCAGTGTACATGTTTGATTCGATTCTGCTGAATGAAGAAATTCAATGGAATAAAATCCTTGAAACAGTTTTATTCATTAAAGAAAAATTTAGCATCACAATAACTGACAATTTATTATTAGACAAACTACGACGTTTTATTCATTAAAGAAAAATTTAGCATCACAATAACTGACAATTTATTGTTAGACATAGTACGAAGAATTAACACTATAATAAAAGACAATGAATGGACTGAACGCGAAATTGATAAAAAATGGATCAAGATTTTTAATTTCTTAAAAGAGCGACAAATATTGATGTTTTTAATGTTATATGATTGTTTTTGTTAAGTCTGTTTGTCTTATAAGATGACTAATATCGCGATCATTTATTTACATGATTATTTATATACATGTACAAGTATTTTTTTTGGTCAACTTAGTGTCCTCCTCGCACATTTTAAAATTCTGGTCACCTTATTTACACAGCCCCAGATGGGCCCTAATTGGCTGTATCTGCCTCAGCTGCTTTCTCCCCAGCCCCAGCTGGGTTTTAACCCTTCAAGGGCCAGGGTGGGGCAGAATCAGATCCCAAAAGCAGGTCACACATGTATCAAATGTGCGAAAGGTCTGAGGAACCAGATGTTTTAGCAGAAGCCCCTTTTTGGTGAATTTGACTGGTTCGCATGGCATGAGGCCCCGTATGCCATATGGCTGTGGATGTGAGCAGCCACCAAACCTTTCCTTTCCCTTTTTTTTCCCCTCTGTCAGATCTGGAGACGATTGGCTGTGCGGGCGGTAACCCACCACCATGGGCATTAAAGCAGCATTGCCCAGTTATGAGCTGGGGTTCTACGCGCTGGTCGTGATGTGTGCGGTGGTGTACAGCGGCAGCGGGATCTTCGAGGCCTCTAGAGGTACTTTTCCTGAGTGTGCCAGGTGTTGTGTGTGTGTGTGTGTGTGTGTGTGTGTGTGTGTGTGTTTGGAAGAGAGAGACTGGCAACATGAGGTGCAAAGCTGTGCTAACTTCCCCTATGTCAGCTTCCTAAGCAGGCTGATATATTATCTTCATGGGGCCCTGATCGTCAGAAATGTAGCACATCGTTTTATACACCACCAGAAAACAGGACAGCTGGCAGCTAGGTCCTCCCCACTGCATGAGAGCTCCCAGTTCTTCCTGTCAACAATGTATTATCTCATGATGGTTCCTCACTCAGACAAGGGCAGGATGTTGGAGGCACGCTTGGTGGGAGGCTCTGTCTTTGTTCATTTCCTCTGGTTCCTTTGGGAGTGCAAACAAACTTCATGGGGCAATCCTCCTGGGCTGAGGCTTGAGCACCTGGGTGGGGTGATGTGGGTGGCGCTTGGACTGCTGCTGCTGGTGATGTATCTGTATGGAGAATAAACAGGGCTTCAGGCTGGGGGGAGGGGGAGGGAGGGGGTCATGCCAGCCCCCTCCAGCACTGCTAAATTCACACCACTGACTGAGACGAATACTGCCCCCAGTGGACCAAGGAACTCCCCGTGGGGAAATGCACATGGCGCAGCCCGATCAGCTGAGTCTGACCCTAAGCCCGTTGAAATCCATGAGGCTCCTTCTGTTGACTTCAGTGGGGTTTGGATCAGGCCTGTGCATTTTAGCAGGGCAGTTCTGTTCCCCAATCCCATGGGAGTCACAGGTGCTCTGAATCTTCCAGGATTGGGCCCTTAGGTGCTGGTTGTGGAGGTAACAGGGAGCCTGTCTGGAAGCCCCCTGAAGCAGCCCCCCCTAAGTGTGCCGGGATGACACTGGAGTGAGGAAGGAGACGGCTCCTGGGGTTGGCTGAGATTTTCAGAGGCGAGGAGCAGACGTAGCCAGGCAACTCCCGTTCATTTCAACAGGAGCCACACGGGAAATTCCCACGTCGCCTCTGAGAACCTCAGCTGCTTTATCGTCCATTGCTTGCACTGTCTCCTCAAATGTACCAAAGGAGGCAACTTAGCCAGGGAAAACCACTCCCTTGCTTACCACAGTGCTCCTCCCCTGCGCTGAGCAAGAAGGCCCTGGTTCACCAACGCCCTTGGGTGCCGGCTGCACTTGAAGCACGTGCATTGGCTTGAACAGGCACCAAGTACGTGTGTAAAGCTAAGGCACGTGCACAAGTGCTGTGCGTCCGGGGGCTGCACGCAGAAGACGGTTTCAGCTTTGGCATGCTTTCTCCCGGCACGACACCTCTTCTTTTGCAGATAACGTGAACAGAAAAGCCTTTCGGCAGAGCATAAAACCGGGCTGGCATTACTTCGGCAGGAAAATGGTAAGCCACCCCACCGCAAGCCTCGCTAGGCCATTATGTGCTTAAACCACCCGCACCAAGGCTGCCAGCTACCACAACGAGCCTTGACTTATCCACCGCTCGTGTCTCGTTGCACAGTCCAGGTGACCCTTTCTGCTGTTTGTCAAAATGACTGTGTCATCCATTAAAGGCACATGCAGCCAGGAATGTATTCATTCTTCACATAGCACACAGTCAACCTGTGGAACTCCTTGCCAGAGGATGTTGTGAAGGCCAGGACTTTAACAGGGTTCAAAAAGAGCTAGATAAATGCATGGAAGATTGATCCATCAATGGCTATTAGCCAGGATGGGCAGGAATGGGGTCCCTGGCCTCTGTTTGTCACAAGATGTGAATGGGCGACAGGGGAGCTTACGAGCACCTAGAGACACAAGCAGTCCTAGCATTGCCTGCACAGGGGTTTTGGAGCTAAGCTAATATGCCTTGAAATCCACAGATGGCAGAAAGGCCATGAAATAACTTGAACTGTGGACATGATCCTGTCAAGTGCCAAGCGCCTTTGGCTCCTATTGAAGCTAACGGATGTGCAGGCCATCCAGCACTCAGAAGAAGTGGGCTTGTGTCCACAGCAATATGGTAGAAAAGGACAGTTGGGGGAGCTGAAGGCTTGGGGGGAGGAGAGCTACTGAGCAGGAAGTCAGAAATCGGGGCCCTGGAGAGACCATGGTAGCCTTCCTGTGGCTGGTCCGTGCTGACGTGGCTCTGTTCTGACAGGACATGGCTGACTTTGAATGGGCGATGTGGTTCTCCTCGTTCAGGAACGTCATCATCTTTGCCCTTTCCGGGCACGTCCTCTTCGCCAAGATCTGCTCCATGGTGCTGCCTCAGGTGAGCAAGGGCCACTGCCCAGACACGGATTGAAAAGCGCCGGCGGGGTGGTGTGCGTGTGGTATAGCGTGGCAAACGCAGATGGTCACAGCGCTGTTGAAGATCCCAACAAACACTGTTTGCAGGGCCAAGGGGACTTTTTTGAAGGGCTGCACATACCTCACAATCTACAGCTACTATAGCAGCCCTTCAATGTAGACACGGCCTACGCAGACGGGAGGCGTTCTCCTGAGAGAAAATAGCTAGGTCGATGGAAGAACTCATCTGTCAACCTTGCATTGTCTTACGGGGCCTGGGTCAGCTTCATGGCGCTGCACAGGGGTGTGGCTATTTCATGTCGTAGTTCTGCTCATCTAATTTTCCCATTCAGACCAGGCCTACGATAACGGAACTCAGCTGGGCCATGGAAAATCCCCAGTCATAGGGGTGTGATGGAAGCAAAATACTGGGACCTTGGGATAATATAATAAAACCCCTCTGTGTGTACTGGAAATTAGATGGGAGAGGAAGCTCACCCAGTGAATGGCTTCCGAGTGTGTCCCCTAAATAGGTCGTGGTACCCATGGTAGCCAGTGGGGGTTACCCCAGAGCCAGCAGCATAGAAACCAGCCAGGTACCCCCACTACGTCACAGTCTTCCAGGGCAGGGACTGTCTGTCACTTAAGGCACTACCATCGTCATGCTAATAATAACAATTGCTGTGGGGGATCAGGCCCGGAATGGTTGTACCTGGACAGAGATGCTGATGGAGTCTTTGGCTCTTGACTTTACAGACAATGTTGCTTTTTTTTCAATCACACTTTTGGGGGAGGTTTTCGACCTCATCGTCCATTGTTTATTTTATCAGAACAATTGCATAACGGGAGAATCTTTGCTCATTACTTGCTACGCTGCTTGGGGGGAGGGGAGGAAATGTTACATCAAAACTTTTCCTTTTTTAAAAAGTGTCATAAAAATCCACAAATCTGATCCCTCCCGGTTCAGTAATTGCAGTTCCAGGAGGACAGATGGCTCAGTGCTTATCTTGCGACTCAGGAGACCTTGGGCAAATCACGCAGGCATTTTGGTGCCTAACTCCCACTGAATGCAATGCGAGTTTGGTGTCTAAACATTTTTACAATCTGGGCTTGCATCTCTCTGTGGCTCCATTCCCCGCCTGCGGAGTGGAAATAACAGCACTGCCCTAGCTTGCTGCAGGGCTGGGGTGATAAAGACCGCAAAGATTGTGAAGTGCTGGGATGCTCGGAGGTGGATACCTACTAGAGAGGTGATAGAAATGTAGCCGTGTTAGTCTGGGGTAGCTGAAGCAAAATGCAGGACAATGTAGCACTTTAAAGACTAACAAGATGGTTTATTAGATGATGAGCTTTCGTGGGCCAGACCCACTTCCTCAGATCACTCACGGGTTGAAATCCTGACCCTGGTGAAGTCAGTATGAGAGTCACTACTGTGTCAAAAGCTTCAGAGAGGTAGCCGAGTTAGTCTGTAACAGGAAAATTTTAAAGAACAACCAATAGTCTAGTAACACCTTGAAGACTAACAAAACATGCAGATGATATCACGAGCTTTCGTGAGCAAAACCCACTTCTTCAGATGACCAGAGTAAAATAAGTCCAGATCCAAGAATAAATAAGGGAGGGAGGGGAAGAGAGACAGTGAGTAGATCGTTCAAATAGTTACAAAAGGCTGTTAAGAATCATTAGCACCTCCATTGGTTGGTTGGTTGGTTAAGTCATTAAAACGTGGAAGATAGTGTGCAAGCCAACGTATATCCCCCATTAAAACGTGGAAGATAGTGTGCAAGCCACTGTATATCCCCTGTTCAGACTATTTGCATAAGAATTAACCTTGTGAACAAAGTTAAGTTCCAATCCGTCTCTGTGTATTTGGCTTGTGGAATTGGTCTGAAACAAAACAGCAACTTGGAGATCCATTAATGAGTGTCCAGGAAGATTAAAGTGGTCTCCAGCAGGTTTTTGTGTATTGCCCTTTCAGATTTGTGTCCATTAATTCTTTCCCGTACTACTGTGTCAGGGGGGCTAAGATGGCTCCCATCTAGGAAAGATGTTCCATGCCTGGAAAAAGCCCATAATCCACTGCACATGAGCTCCCAGGGACACGCAGCTCTAAGAGGACTCATGTGAACAAGGGGCAAGGCAGAAAAGTCCCCCAACTTGGCTGAATGCAAAAAAAACCCATTGACATACATTGATCAGCTCTAGTGTAAATAGAACATTCCCTTCACCCCCCAATTTGGTACCTCTGGGGTGCAGTGGGCAGCAGGGCATGGAAGAGGGTCTGTTGCCCAGAAGCTCTGGGTGTTGGACTCCCCAGGGGCTGCCCTGAAGCACTTCTCTTTTCTCACAGCACAGATCTGTGGTTTACATGCTCTACGGGATGTTGGCGGTGCTGGGCACCATGGGAAGCTCCTACCTGATGCTCGTCCTCGCTCACTGTGTCCTGCTCTACTCCATCGCGCTGGCTAAGCAGAGGTGGCTGTGCTTTGCAGCTGGGCTTTGCAGCCTGGCCTCTTTCAGGCTGGAACCTTTCAGCACGTGGCAGGTACGCGTAGCCAGCGCGGTCAGTTTCTTCCCAGCTGTTTTTTTCCCAGTGGGGCCAAGCCCCCGTATCTCTGGGCCTATGATTTGATAGCTTATGTCACACTAAAAAGAAGTGTCATGGTGTATGGAGGCTGTCGTACCTCGGTGTTCTGTACCTCGGTTTCTTCGGTGGTCTGGACTGTCGGTGTCAGCGTCGTCTGGTCAGGTCGTCCTGGCGCGCTCCTGACAGGACCTCTACTCCGTCGGTGAGGATAAACTTTCGACCTGGCGCGCTCCTGACAGGACCTCTACTCCGTCAGTGAGGATAAACTTTCGACTGCGTTCGTAACAATCGGTACTCCCTTTATCTAGAGTGTTAGACCCCGTGCACTTGAGTCAACACAGGAGATCTCTGAGAGGCCCCGGAAACGACAGATGCAGGCAAGATTTGAAATCAATCGAGCAGGTTTATTGTCAAATGCGAAGCTCTATCAGTTGGTAACAGAGATCAGTACAATGTTACACCACTGGGCACTATGGCCCGCGTTGACAAGGTACCAACACCGGGCAGGCCTATTGCCATATATCAGATACTAACAGCAGTTAGTCAGCGTTCAGCTACTGTGCCTTCTGTAAGCTTAGGGAATGACACCTGCCGTTCAGACGCCTAGTGCGCCCCCCGCAAGGTCGGCCGGAGAGCACCCTCTGCGGTGTCCTTTTATAGACAGGTACAAACAAATTACATCACTTCTTTACGTACCAGGTTACCACCCTCTGTTGCCTAGTTACCATCCCTCACCTTACAGAAGGGGGCTTACTTACTATCCTTCATGCTGTCAATCTTGACCCGGTCGGTATGTGCATTAGTTTTTGGGGAGTCTTTGTACCAAGACTTTTCTTATTAGATGTTCCGTTACTCCCCTTGGGCTTACAGTCTGTACCCAGTGCCTCCCTGTGTCCTTCCATGCTTGACCTAACTTACACAATCACACAATTATCAATAGGGTCTCTTTCTTGGCTCCTGTGTTACTGAACCAAAGTCTTGCTCACTAGATTGCAGGCCTGTTGCTGTTTTCATGTTACAGGCCTCTATTCAGGCCTGCTGACTCCATGTTACTGACCCTCAACTTGCTACAGAGGCAACATGCCCGAGTGGTTAGAGGAGGAGTCAAGACTCCTTGTTCTATACTTGGCGCTGCCACTGATGTGCTAGGGCAGGGATGGGCAGCCTGCTGCCCACAGGCCACATGGGCCCATCGCGGTTCTTTGTGTGGCCCTCCAGATATTTTGTTTGCTGTGCGTGTAAGGGTGACATTCACACCCGCAGGTCAGCGCTGGGTGAAGCCATCCCTGTGTGTAAGGGTGACATCCACACTTGTCCCAAAGGCCAGCACATCTGCATAACCCTTAAGTCTATACTGAGCTTTTATGTGCACCACAGCCCTGATGCTCAACTCCTGCGCAGTGGTGAATTTCAGCATAAGCTTTGCAGTTCTCCTGGTTGCACGATCCAAACCCTTCAAGCTAGAAATAAGGGACGAGATTTTTCAATAGTGAGGGTAATTAACCAGTGGAACAACTTACCTAGGGAGGTGGTGGGTTCTCCATCACTTCAAGTTTTTACATCAAGGGTGGGAACCTTTTTAAGGGTGGGGAAGGCTGACCCACAGGAAAATCAGTCGGGGGCCACACACAAGTGAGAAGCAACCTCCCCCAAAACAAACACACCTCACTGACGTGGCCCCCTACTGAGAGAGGGAGAAAGGCACTCCCCACATTCCCTTTGCACCACAGAGCCTAGTAGATTTTTGTGTGCTCCAAGCACCATGGAGGGGCGCCAGGAGGGCTGGCGCACCAGCATGGGCTATCCAATGCTGGGGGGTAGCCCTGAGCCACGGTCCAATGCTGGGGGGTAGCCCTGAGCCATGGGGGTTAGATCCAGGCAAGCTGGAGGCCACATCCGGTCCCTGGGCCTTAGGTTCCCCACCTATGCTTTAAATCAAGACAGGACATCTCTTTAAAAGGTACATTATAGTGCCAGTGGTAATTATGGGCTTGATGCAGAAATTACTGTATGTGGCACAAGGGCACATGTTATGCAGGAAGTCCAATTAGACAATCATAATGGTGATTTCTGGTGTTAAACTCAATGCAGCCTTGCTCTCAAAAAGTAAAACACCATTGCTAGAAAACTATATATCTGAATTAAGACTCGGTGGTAGGAGCTGCCCACCGCAGCGCTGCAGAATCCCTTTCCAGCCGTATGAAGTAGTAACTGTTCTTTTCTGTTTAGAATGGATTTGTAACCAGAACTTTTGATCTTCAAGATGTGCTGTTTTATGGAGGAAGCGGCTTCACCATCATGCGCTGCATGAGCTTTGCCCTGGAGAACGCCGAGCGGAAGGAAGGGATTTACTCCATCATCGACCTGCTGAAATACAATTTCTACCTCCCATTTTTTTTCTTCGGACCCATCATGACCTTTGATCGATTCCACTCTCAGGTACTAGCTTTGTGGTTTTCCTCCTTACCTCGGCAGATTTTAAAAGGGATGCTTCGCCCGGTTTCCCATTTCTTTTAAGCTGTAGTTTTACTCCCACAAATAATTGCTGGTGCAGTCAGCTTCATTTAGACATGCTGTTACCTGGTGAGGGCACAAAGTCAGGTAGCTAGGGTTCATTTGTAATGGAAAAGCAGCTGGGACACAAGCAATTTATTTAATTCTAATGCACAAAACCCAGAGGTGCTGGAGCTATGAACTGCCGAGCCTAGAGATGCCAGGTTACGAACTGCCTGGGGGTGCCAGGCTATGACCTACCAAGCTTAGGGGTGCTTGGCTATGAGTGGCCAAGCCCAGAGGTGCCAGCTGCCATGCCCTGCCTTGGCCCAAATTAACGACTGACTAAATATCAAGATGAGATCAGTTGCACCGGCAATTAGGAGATGGAACAAAATTGTGGGTGTAAAACGAGAAGCTGTTTCTCAAAATCAACACCACCGGGTCAAGTCTTCAGCTGAGCGCTTTCTACCAAAATATGGGAAGAAAGTTGTTCTTGTGTTGAAGTCATTGGACTAAGATCTTGGTTCAGTTCCTGGCTTTGCTACTGACTCACTGTGCAACTTTGAACTTAGGTTTTGTCTGTCTCTGTGTCCCATCTCCAAAATGGCGTGATGCTTTTTTACTTGCTAGGGTGTTGCAGGAATAAATTCATTGTTTGCGAGGAGCTGAGGTACTTTGGAAGGCCAGGTGACAGACAGAAGTTGCACTTACAAAGTACTCAGAGGTGTGCAGAGAACTGCCCTTACAACCCCCCATCCCCACCATTTGTACATGCTGGTATCCTCATGCACACGCTCACACATTCTGAAGCTGCCATGTAGGCCCCCGTGTGGACTAGACACATTACATATGTTTGTATCCCTGTGTGTCACATCATGTGCTACCTTTGTGTCTGTCTGTCCTTCCACACTGCACGTGTGCAACACTGTGCTCTACTGGACGATGTCAGACCTGCTGAGGCAGTCTGCTGCAGAGGACAGAGAGACTAAAAGCCTTCATACAAGAATTTCAGTCTAGGAGAGAGAAGGAGGTGGAAGGAATATTTTTTGGAACCCACTTCTGTTGGTGAGAGAGGCAAGCTTTCAGGTTACAGGCAGCTACATTTTACATTGGTCTGATTTTCAGAGGTGCTCTGTGCCCAAATCCTCACTGAAGTTAATGGGAGATGTAAATGATTCTAAGGTTCAGAAAAATCAAGCTATTTATCTATATGCTGAATTTAAAAATGGACAAAAGATTATTTTTAATGGGAAGCAACTAAATATATGGCTTCCTCCTGCTCCTCCTATCATACTCCTGTGTCTGTATATACATACACACATTTGTACATCTTTACACAGTAATACACATACATATATTACATATTGGTACAACCAAATAACTGACATTGCAAGGAACACTTCCAAATGTATGCAGTCATCCATAATCCTGTCTGGTCAAACAAGAGAAACAGAACGACTTAGCAGGACACTAAATAAGGTGAAATATTAGGCCTTGAAAGAGGCATATCCTGTGCCTCCCCTCCCTCTTCTGTTGTTTTGTTCTGGTTTTTTTTCCCCCTTTAAAACCTAAAATTCAGGAACTCAGCTGACATCAGTGTGGTGTGTGATTATTTAAATGCAAATCGCAGCACCATGCTCATTTTCACTCTCCGCACCACAGTTTTGCTTTTAAAATTATTCAACACCGAAGCATTAGTAAGCCAACAAAACTACATGCCAGTTCTCCTCCCTTCCCCACACTTCTCCCCACAAAAGGCTAGGAAAAAATGCATTCACAGACACCGCAATGAACACTAGCAGATCGTGTAATATTAAATCACCCCCCTTTAATTTTCTTTTAAAGGAACACTGTCCCCCGAAGGTCTAAAATTCAGGATCAGAACCCAAAAACATTCTATAAAACCTAATGCAACGAGAGAACTTTTAATTCATTCCAAAAGTAGTCAGTGCAAACATGGAGTTGGTAAATGCTTCCCTGCAGGGATGGAAACTCAAAGGGGGCAGCACTGGTGGGAAGGCAAAAGAACTAGAAAGTGAAACTGACTTCATGGCCCAAGTGGAGTGAGGTACCTACTGTAAAACAGGATAAATGGAGAAACAAACTCTTCCTTTTTATCAGCCTCCATTGGCATTAGCACAATGTCTTTTGTGCCTTGACCGTGGCCCGTTGGTTTTGACGGATGCTGATCTTGCAGATTCATCTTTCACTGCGTCATGATGGCACTGCTGCAGGACTTTGGTGGTCAGGCCATGGTGTTTACACACAGCTTTAAGTGTCATCACATAACTGTGGCCAGATCCCATCCTCCCAGTCTGACTTCCCTCTGAAGTGCTGCGTGCCTTGGTGACATAATCGGTGTTGCACTTGCAGCTCGCTCTAAGGGTGGGACCCAGCTTCAAGGATAACAGCCTGCTGGTGGTGCTTGCTAGTGGAGCTATACTTTGACTCCAAGGGTAGCAATCTGTGTTTTGATGCATAAGGTTCTGGGTTCGAGTCCTGCTGATGAAAGGTTCTATTGCATCCTCATCTGCCAATGGAGTCAACAGGAAAAGAGGATGCTCAGCCCATATCTTACAGGCTGAGCCTTATCTGTCTCCCATGAATGACACATGGTGCTTGCTGTAAATAACCTCTCCAGGTTTTTTATACCGTTCCTCCCGAAGCCTATGCCCAACCCGCCTGACATCTATGGCCCCTTCTTTCTCCCCTGCACACAAAACAGCTCTGATGCTGACTGACCAATACCAAGAGGCCAGCCTAGCACATCCACTAATGACTGTCCCTGGGGGGGATTGCCCGTCAAATGCCATTTACAGCCTGTGCAGCGGCTGCCACATCTGTTCTCCAGGGCAAGATTGGAAAGATGAGCTGATGTGACCTCAGCACAAGGGACCGCGTCCTGCGCTTATTGTCCTGGGGCGTAAATCCAGGACTGGCTGGCCACTACCAGAGCAATGACTCCATCCGCGTAAGGGTGTCACAAAGAGCAGAAGTGGGCCCAAGCTTCCATGAAAGGCTGTAATGGAGCCTTTTCATTATTCATGATCCACCCAGGATCCAGAACTCAGACCTACCTCTCTCCAAAGTAGTCCGCCTCTGGGTTCACGTCGCTTCTCCCACGAGCTCTTCCCCAGGGCTATTGCCTTTAAAAACAACAAAACAAAGGAGGGATTATTAGAGAAAATAAGGGGCCATTTGCAAGCAAGCCAAAGCTAAAGTCAGAGAGAAACACAGCTGCACTAGCACACGGCTGCAGCAGGTAAAGCTGGCTAGCTCCGATGTGTGTCTAACGAGCTAGGTCAGCAGATCTTCCTTGGCCTCCTTAACTGCACCTGCAACATTTGCAAGACATGCTACACGGGCACACGGCAGACGCTTCTGCTGCTATTTCCTTTGGTACTTGCCTGGCAAGTTACGCGCTTTCTTCCAGCGCGAAGGAGAGTAGATCGTGAGCTATTTTGGGGAAGCAATGTTGGAGCTGGGAATCAGAGCATCAGGACTCCAGGTTCAGTCCCAGCTGTTTTGCTGGCTACAGTAAAAACGTTTTTTGGCACCCTTGCTCTGCCTCCCACTCTCCCCCGCAACAGCAGAGAAAAACAAAAAACAAAATGCAGCTGGCCAGTTGGAGGGGAGCAAAAAAGGAAAAAGTGGCACAGCTATTTGGCACCTCCTGGAGGTGGCTCCCGGGTGACTTCCTTGTTTACCCTCCCCTAAAACTAGCCCGGTTCCTGGCTTTGCTATTTACTGGCTCTGTGACATCATCTAGCCTCTCTGCATTTCAGTTTGTCCACCTGTAAATTGGGTTAACTCAGGCCTGGTCTGCACAGGAAATTAGGTCAGCATAACTGGGTCTCTCAGGGTGCATCTATACTGCACTGTAGGTCGAAGTAAGATACACAATCTGAGCTACGCCAATTGCGTCTCTTATTCCGATGTTATTTCAAAATATTTTATTTTATCTACACCAGTGGTCCCCAACGTTTTGGGGCTGCCAGGTGCCTGGGGGGCAGGGCCACTCACGTGCTGCACGTGCAGGGGACCTTATTTCGAAATAACCAGCTATTCCAAAACATCCCTTCCTCCTTGTGGAGTGAAGTTTACGGGGACGTCGGAATAGAGAGCCCATTACATTTTGAAATAACAGGTGCTCTCAAAAGACACAGCATAGCTATTTTGGGATGCCGGAGGTATCCCGAAATAGTGCTGCAGTGTAGACATACCCGCAGAGGTGAGAAAAATCCACACCCCTGAGGGTGGAGTGAAGCCAGCCTAAGACCCTGTGTAGACAAAGCTGGGTCAACTGTCTAATTCTTCCATTGATCTGGCTCCTGCCCCTCAAGGAGGAAATTTGCCTACTCCTATAAGAGACTCTCCCATTGGTACAGGCAATGTTACACTGACGCTCTAGCATGGCTGAGTGGTACTGCAGTAGCGGTACTGCAGTGCATTAACAGGTGTGTTGTGAGCAAGACGCGAGAAGTCATTCTTCCGCTCTACTCTGCGCTGGTTAGGCCTCAGTTGGAGTATTGTGTCCAGTTTTGGGCACTGCATTTCAAGAAAGATGTGGAGAAATTGGAGAGGGTCCAGAGAAGAGCAACAAGAATGATGAAAGGGCTATGACCTATGAGGGAAGGCTGAAAGAATTGGGTTTGTTTAGTTTAGAAAAGAGAAGACTGAGGGGGGACATGATAGCAGTTGTCAGGTATCTAAAAGGGTGTCATAAGGAGGCGGGAGAAAACTTGTTCATCTTGGCCTCTGAGGATAGATCAAGAACCAATGGGCTTAAACTGCAGCAAGGGAGGTTTAGATTGGACATTTGGAAAAAGTTCCTAACTGTCAGGGTGGTCAAACATTGGAATAAATTGCCCAGGGAGGTTGTGGAATCTCCCTCTCTGGAGATATTTAAGAGTAGGTTAGATCAATGTCTATCAGGGATGGTCTGGACAGTGCTTGGTCCTGCCGTGAGGGCAGGGGACTGGATTCGATGACCTCGCGAGGTCCCTTCCAGTCCTAGTATTCTATGATTCTATGAAGTGTGGACAAGCCTTCAGCCTAGATAATCAAATGGTCCCTTCTAGCCTTTACTTCTATGAGCTTTCATGGATGCTCTGAGGCTGAATCCTCAACCTTGGCAGTTGAATCTGGCAGCTTCCTCCTCCTGCTCTTCCAGGCTGCCTGGGCCCTGCAGAGGGGCACTGAGAACACAGGATCCTTGATCAGTGCCTGGAACCCCAGCAGCACCTCTAATTGCTGTGTACAGGGGTCTGGCAGCCCTGGGATGGAGCATGCTCAGTGGCTGTAGGCAAAAACACAGTCCGGTCACAGCAGATGCTGTGAAGGGCTAGAGCGTGCTCTGTAGAGAACTGAGCTTGACCTTGGCCAAACTTTTGCGGCTTTTCCCAGGGGCAGCAAAAAGCACCTCTCTGGCGCAAATGCTACCCCCCTGCCAAATTTCTAGTGTCTGCTCCAAAGCTGGGAGACCCTAGAGCATCTCAGATTAAAGACCCAGCATTTTTAAACCCGGGCAAAACAACATATTTCCCCCCACCTCATTCTCAGAAAGAGCCGAGCCATTTTAGCTGAAACTTGCCCAGAGAAAGTCAGCCTGAGGCCGACACTCAGGGTGGCAGATTTCAGCCCAAAGCAAATGAAAACAAAATCTATAATAGACCACGTTGGCTACGTCTACACTGGCATGACTTTCTGGAAATGCTTTTAACGGAAAAGTTTTCCGTTAAAAGCATTTTCGGAAAAGCACGTCTAGATTGGCAGGATGCTTTTCCGCAAAAGCACTTTTTGTGGAAAAGCGTCCGTGGCCAATCTAGACGCGTTTTTCCGCAAAAAAACCCCGATCACCATTTTCGCTATCAGGGCTTTTTTGTGGAAAACAGTATTGTGCTGTCTACACTGGCCCTTTTGCGCAAAAGTCTTTTGGAAAAAGACTTTTGCCCGAACGGGAGCAGCATAGTATTTCTGGAAAATCACTGACGATCTTACATTAGATCGTCAGTGCTTTTGCGGAAATTCAAGCGGCCAGTGTAGACAGCTGGCAAGTTTTTCCGGAAAAGCGGCTGATTTTCCAGAAAAACTTGCCAGTCTAGACACAGCTGTTGGGTTTGGCAGGACTATTATTCCCAAAGCACAGATGGGGAACGGAGGCACAATGAGGCTAAGTGAGTTGCCAAAGGTCGTACTGGACATTTCTGTTGGACCAGGGAATCCAGTCCCAGTCGGTGAGCTCCCACACCAGAGCCCTAACCACTGTACCGTTCTTCCTCCCAGCAAGCTGCTGCACTGCCTCTGAGCACGCCCAGAAGGCAGCAGACCTCCATCCCATAGTGGGATGCATCACTTGGAAGGATGCTGTGTGCGGTACCCATGGGAACGCTCAGTCAGGTGTTCCATCCAGCCCAGCCTGCGACATTGCGCAGGGACGGCTTTGGAAAGTCTGAGCGGCGCCTGTTGTGTCTCACTGACGCCCTTTGCGCTGTGTCTCAGCTGTTTCCTCTTAGACCTCAGTGTCCCAGAACCTGTTGTCAGAGGGGCGAAATGACAGCTGCCTGGGATAACTGGCCAGTAACAGCTGATCCCCTCTGGATTAAACTCCCGTGGCATCTCTGGTTCCATGTTTGGAAGCCTCTCCAGTTCCCGGCAGCGGGGCTCAGGCCGATATCGAAGGCCGTGTGAGAGTAATGTGCACAAGCAAAGCTGGGAAATGCTTTAACCCTTGGAAATCATCGGTTTCCTTTGATGAGGCTACGGCAGGCAAGCCAAAGGACTTCCCAAGAACTCCCGCCATGTGGGGGATAAAGAAAGAGGAATCAATATAAGCGTATTTCTTATTCAGCACCAATTTTATGGAGCTTCTGAAAGCCAAGGCTGCCAACCTCCCCAGTGCAGCCCTAGACGCTCACTATGATTATTATTATGTTACAATATTCAAGGGAGGCCGCAGTTCCTGGGAGGAATAGCACTGACTGATACCGCAGAGTGTGTCAGTGAGCCACAGGCATTGGAGAGAGAAACAACCTGTTAGATCAGCCCCCCCCGAAGCCAGATTCTCCCCTGCTCGGTCATTGCCAAGAGCCCGATCCAGTGTGGTGCTGAGACTTCTAGCCCTTTCCTTCCTTAATTACAACACTGGCTGCCAGGCAAGGAAACTGCTGCCAGGGAGCATGCCCGCACTGCACTGGCCATTCTGAAAAGCCCACCAAAGTGGGGCCAGCGTCAGTGTTCCCTCCAATTTTTCAATCCAGGTGTGGAATAAATTTTGTTACATGCACTGAGGCACATGCAGATGTGCACCACCAGTAGAAACACCTGCTGCCGGCTGTGGACACTCTCCTAATCAGCTGGGTGGCATTTGACTCTCTCCTGGGTGGCTGCCCAAGCACATTGCTTACAGGGAACACGGTCAGTGTGAAGTCACCCAGCACAATAGGAAGACCAGCCAGGACTGCGCTTGCCAGAGCACCTTGGTGCGCACAGATCACTGTGTATCCCTGCACTGTCATGACCAGCCTGCCAGCCCCTCTAATCCATACATGGAGCAGAGGGGAGCCCTAAGGTTGTTTGGTTTTCCCCTGCTGTCTTTGGGGGTGAGTATTGCACCAGGTGCCATGAGCAAATCCCCATACTCTTTGGAGTGTAAGGCTCTACTGTGGTGGGTCCTTGCACAGGGCATGCAGGGGCATGTGTGTCCCTTACCCCATTCCTACCCAGGCAGAAGGCCTGCCACAATCCAGCACTCAGGTTAAGCTTTTAACCAATCCCTGTAAGCCCGTATTCCCCCCCAGCCATTTCTCCCGAGTGTGACATTTTCCTCCAGATCGCCAGTTCATGCCCCCTTTCCAGCTCATGGATGAAATAAAGAGCATGCCTGGCCGGATGCATTGTTACCATTTCACGTGGTCGTGCCGTGGGAGCGCGCTGCACCCATTAGATCTGAATGACACAGTCCCCGCCCAGAAGAACATCCCAGCGGCTGCATTGCTGGTTCTCCCATACCCACAAAGCCGTAGATCACAGACCCGCTCTGCCCATGACTGGCAGAGAAAAGGCATCACTGATGCAGCGCTGGGGTTTGCTCCGGCCACCGTCATGCCCGTCACTCGTGCAGACGGGCCAGATTGCTAGTTTGCATCAGTGGGCTGCTCGATGGTGCGGTTAAACTGCATTAGTGGCAATTTACAGCGTAGGCTCAAGCCTGCGTAGGCTCAAGCCCAACAAGGAGCCCGGAGGCACTTTAAAGACTAACGAATGTAGTAGGCCAGTAGTTTTCAAACTTTTTTTTCTCATGACCAGAAAATTGTTGGTGCTGCGAACCAACATAATTTGGCTAGAGTGTGGGCTCTGGGGTGGGGCTGAGGACGAGAGCTTTGGGATATAAGGGGGGGGGTCCAGCTTTGTGGGGGCAGGGCTGGGGTAGCAGGAGCTTACTTGGAGTGGCTCCATAGCGATTCAGTAGGGGTACTAAGGCAGCTTCCGGCCTCTCCTGGCACCGCAGATCACGCAGAAGCAGCGCGGAGCTAGTGCTCAGGGCAGGGGCAGTGCATGGAGCCCTGTGCGCTTTTCCCATCCCCTACATAGGAGCTGGGCCTGCTGCCAGCTGCTTCTGGGGTGCTGCCTTAGCACCCCCCACTGCTCACCTGATCCCCCTGCAGCAACGAGACCCAGCGCCCGACATTCCATGATCGAGTACTGGGTCGTGACCCATAGCTTAAAAACCACTGTATTAGGGTATTCAGGCATACATACCTTATACCTAATACATGTGTTAGTCTTTAAAGTGCCACAGGACTCCTTGTTTTTGCTGAAACAGCCTAGCACGGCTACCCTGTGTATACCCCGTGTTTGCTGAGCCAGCAGCAGCCACTGAGGGCTGAAATTGGAGCAAATCTCCAGTAGACAGGGCTTTAGGCTGCCAGCGCCTTACCATGAGGTGAACTGAGACGGCCGCCTCAGGTGCTAGACTGTGGAGGGCGCCACTAGGACCCAGAGTGTAGAAAATTGTGTCTGCTGCTGCTGCCTATGCATTCTCTCTGCTCTAGATGCACAGAGCTGGTGGAGTGCCAGAAGAGGAGTAGAACAGGAAGAAAGCAGAATTGAGACCTTTCAAAGTTTTGGCCCAAATGATGGAGCATGGGGGCGTCATTTGAGCTCCCCACCTCAGGTGCCAAAATGTTGTGGGCCGGCCCTGTTAGGCAGGTGTGGGGAATGCTACTAGAGCTCCACCGGGGGGTTATCTTATTCTCAGCACATTCTCTGGGTACCAGAGCAAGTGCATCCCTTTTATTTCGCCCTTTCCCTTGTTCGTCTCTCCCTCCCCCCCCAGGTAAGCACCAGCGAGCTGAGGCGCAAAGACAACGAGATGTGGAACATTCGCGTCCACGCGGGTCTCCACCTGGGGGCGATCGTCGCCGTGGACATGTTTTTCCACTTCTTCTACATCCTGACTCTGCCTGCGGATGTGAAGTTTGTGAACCGGCTCTCTGACTGGGCATTGGGTGAGTGACCCAGAGGGTCCCTTAGCCACTCTTGTCATGGGCAAGCTCTTATTTTAGAAGGCTTAGGAACGTCTTGTGTATTAACTGTGAACTAATATTGTTATTGGGGTCTAAGGGAAGACAAATCAGTGCCAAAATGGAGGCTTGAAGTTGGGCAACAAAATCATTATTTAGGCAGCTTACGTCAAAAAGGCCCAAGATGCGGAAATGCTGAGCACTCAGCAGCTTCCATTGATGTCCGTTGGAACTGTGGGTGCTTAGCACCTCTGAAAATCAACCCCAAATTGTTTGAGGGGGGCACCCGGTAACCCGGAAATTAGTGGCAAGGTATGAACATTTTGGCTAGGGTGCGCCTGGCCCAGAGTTCTAAGCCAACAAGTGACCCCGTCCAAGTATCCACCTTTCACGTTCAGCAATGGCTTCCCCACTGCTCGTCACTTCTATGTTCCTGGGGCCAGCTGCTGAGATTCTGATTTCAACCTCTCCGAGGTGAGCACAGGAGGTCACCCCAGGTAAAACTCAGAGCACGTCGGTGGAGTGGTTCCAGATTGTGTAACCAGGAGCAGCATCTGGCCTACTGTGTGTGTGTGTGTCGGGGGGAGGGAGGTAGATGCAAGCTGAGGCCTCGCTGAAGACTGAGCCTTAAATCAAGAGCCATCGGCAACAACCAGATAAAGAGAAAACTTGTCCCTCGCTGAGCCAGCTGTTTATTCTGGGCAGAAGGAATATTTGACAAAGGTGCTTTCTGAGCCCAGAGTCTGGCCACAGCTCAGCCTGATGGGAAGGTGCAGTTTGAGAATGGGATAAAAGCAAACTTTGATTTGTTTTCAAGAGTGGTGCTTGGCTTAACTGCTGACACATGCTACTAGCACCAGGTGCCTGGATAGATCACATGCAGGAACTGAACCCATGAGCTTTGGATCTAAAAGCACAAACTGCTGCTGATTGAGCTGAACAGAGCAGACCTGCTAGGTCAGAGGAAATAGCAGAGTCGAATTATTATTATTCATGCATGATGGTAGTTCTACGATTCTATGATAATGCCTAGGAACCCCAGACCAAAACCCCACTGTGTTGGGTGCCATACAAACTCACAACAAACAGATGGTCTCTGCCCAGAAGAGTTCACACCCCAAGGAACTTCCCTATGTGGTCCAGATCCCAAATGGGAACGAGTCCCCTTGTGCAGGTTAAATGCATACTCTACCAGAATGTGCACCTGTGTCTAAATCAAAATGAGTTGTGAAATCGGACCAGTTTCACCAACATTTTGGTTTTTTGGAAGAAAACCAGGGGGAGAGGGAAGTTTTGACACAACCAAAACGTCTCATTTTGACATGTTCCGAAGGAAACATTTCAATTTTTTGTTCGTAAACCATTTTTCATTTCTGTTTTTAAATGTTGTAGGGTATCATCATGAAAAATAAAAAGACCAACCTTGAAACACAATGTTTCCAATGATGCAAAATGATTTTTGCTTTGAATTTTCCTTCCCAGAGAACTTCAAAACCTCTGGGCTCTGATCTTACTAAGAATGAAGCCTGAGTTTGAAATCACAAAATCCTTCTCTTCTGTCCTGCGCTCAACTCTTGTGTTAATATTAGACCATGCTACTATTTGCTTGCTTCTCACTGAGCCATTCTCTTTCCTTTCTGTTTTGATGCGTGCCATACAGCTGGCCTGGCCTACTCGAACTTGGTGTATGATTGGGTGAAAGCTGCGGTGATGTTTGGAGTTATCAATACTATCGCTAGACTGGATCACTTGGACCCGCCGCAGCCCCCCAAATGTATCACCATGCTCTACGTCTTTGCAGAAACGTGAGTGCATCTAAAATGGGAATGGACCCAGGCAGAGGGGACTGATCCAGTCCGTCCAAAGGAAATATACTGAGAAGGAACACAACTTTGTCATTTTTCTCTCCTTGTAACCAGCTGGTCAAATAGTCCCAAGATCTTATCGGCCAAAGTTGCAGAGGAAGGAAGAATGGTCATCTGCTGCATATGTTAGCTAGGCAGAGAGATGAGGACATGAGCCCTCAGCTGGTGTCAAATGTCATTACTCCGTTGAAGTCTACAGAGTTAGAACTGATTGACACCAGTTGACGATCTGTCCCATTGCCTTTGCCTACTGATACCGGAATAGTGTAAACACTCTGCATGGAGAGAAATTATTTTGTGTGATTCTGGGGGCAGAATATATGGCAGAACTTCCCCAAAAGGTGATATATTATTGTGAGGAACAGGTTCCAAAGGGTAGGGGTGGAAGTCCCATTACTTATGGCGTTTTTAAAACCAATCACCTTCCTTGAGAGGTAATTCAGTCAGTGAACTACAAAACCTTTCCCATCCCCTGCTTCAACAATGGGTCCATTAAGACATTGTTGGATTGTTCCCAACCATCCATAATGTTACCATGGGGTGAAAAGAGAACCAGGCTTGCTGATTCACACTGTTATACCCCTTTTCTGGCCCACCTGTGCTAAAAGTGTAGTTCACACCACTATTTATATCACTGAAGTCGATGGGCCAGAGACTGCTTCAGAAGCTGTATCTGCTTACGCCTAGTTCCCATTGACTTCTGTAGAGTTTGCATAGGAATAACTGCCGAATCAGATGCTTGGTTAAATATTTACATTGGAAACAAAGTCAACACTGGTATTCTGAGCCTAGGGCCAGGTCTACATTATGCGGAAAAGTAAAACAAAGATACGCAACTCCAGCTACAAGAACAGCGTAGCTGGAATGGAAGTACCTTAAGTTGAATTTCTGCAACATCCCCACTGTGGGAGGTCAATGGGAGAAACTCTCCCATCAACTTCCCTTACTCCTTGAGACCCCATGGAATACTGGGGTCAATAGGGGCAGCATCCACAATTGATTTAGCAGGTCTTCACTAGACCCACTAAATCGAACCCCAGAAGATCAATCTCCAGAACGTCGATCTTGGAATAAGTGTAGACCAGGCCTGGGAGACAAACTGGCTAATTGGGAGTAATTTCAATGGTGTTACATCAGTGAAAAATGGGTGCAAGCAAAAGCAGGCTTCACTGAATGACTATATAATATAATCAATTGTTAACACCCCATTTTCACATTTTTCTCTCGTTTTGCCTGTCTGTATTTTAGGCACTTCGACAGAGGGATTAACGACTGGTTATGCAAGTAAGTCTGCTTAGGAGATCTGTCATCTCCCCTGGGGTGTGGGACCATCTCTTCCATGGTATGAGTGACTCTCAGAATGACAGTGTAACTGGCCCTAAACGGCACAAGGATGTTAAGCATTATTCACCCTATTCACAGACAAGCCTAAAGCATCTCAGTTCTCATTTTTCTCCAGCATATCCCTAAGTAGTGATCCAGCCAGTCTGTTTTTTAAAAAAAGGGCTGAGCCAACTGGTTTGGAGACAATAAAAGCCAGCCGAAATCACCACTTGCAGCTTGGCTCAACACTTTTTGCTTAACAATTCTATCCTGGCGCCCCTCCCATCTGATTCTCTTTCCCCTCTGCTGAATCTACACTCCCCCAATCTCTGGTTACCTCGTTCAGCCACTATCCCTCTAGCCGCTCTCTGGAACCACAACGTGCTGACTCCACAAGGGGAGTCTCAGGGGGTCTTTGATTAAATGTGTGTGTACCTGGGAGCCAGGTAAATGGTTCCTATATGGTGAGGTGGCAGGGTTGTCAACTTTGGAATATTTTAAAAATTGGACACTCCAGCAGGAGTGCTGGAACCTCTCCCACCCTGCCCCTACCCCGCCTCTTCCCCTGAGGTCCTCCGCCTTTCCCTGAGACAAGCCCCTCATTTACCTATTTTCCCCGCCCCTGCAATTGCTCCCCTCCCTTCCGGGGTCAAGAGGGATTCACCTGCAGAGCCACAGCCTGCAGCTGCCACCACCTGAACCATGTAGGAGGCAGCTGCAGCTGCAGCTGAGTAGGGGCTGGTGCAGCCATCACCTCCCTGCTACCCCCCTGCAGTCACTGGACTTGGGGGTCTGTTCAGTGGTCTGATCAGACACTTAGAGCCCTGCCTGGATACAAAAATGTGTATCCGCAGCCACATCTGTATCTGCAAAAAGGAGTCATGGAGAGCCGCATCTGCATCCACATCCACAGATGTGGATACCCAGGGGTATAAAGGGGATGTCGGCAAATGTGCAGGTTCTGGATTCAAAATTTATATCTGCCTCCTTATCTGGAAAAGGGGGCCACGGATAGAAAGCGGATCGCCACGGATTTGCAGGGCTCTCCAGACACTGCCAGCTCCCCTTTTCGACTGGACTTTCTGGTTGAAAAGTGGGCTCCTGGCAACCCTAGGAAGAGGCCTGACATTAAGGGAACCCCTAAAACCTATATCCCTGGGGGAGAGGAGCGAGAGGAGCTGCATAGAGTCTTCTCTTCTGGTGATACACATGGAACAGGCTCCTTGCTGCAAAATCCACCCCCAGGCCCAACCCCCATTTTCATTCCCTACTAGCTCTCTCTTCTCAGCTGTCCCCCAGCTGGGTGTAACTCCGCAGTGCCAGCCACCAGCCATCCCCAGCTCCCCCCATCATCCCCCAGAAGAGGGAACCCTTCCACAGCTGGGGCACCCATACAAAGCCTTCTTCCTTCCACTGGTGTAGTAACAGCAACTCGCTCTTACCTAGCACTTTGCACCCATGCTTCCCAAAGCAGGGCCAGGGTCATTATTCCCATTTTACAGATAGGAAAACTGAGGCATGGGAGGCGATGGGACATACCCAAGGTCGGCCAGCAGACAGCGGTCGAGGCCGGGATACAACACAGGTCACCACGAAACAACACCCATGCGATGGGACATACCCAAGGTCGGCCAGCAGACCAGCGGTCGAGGCTGGGATACAACACAGGTCACCACAAAACAACACCCACCCTGTTACCTTTGCCCCCGAGGTACGTGTACGATCACCTAGGGGAGACCCACGACAACGTTGTGAAGGAGCTTCGGGCGACCGTCTCCACCTTCGCTGTCACCACCCTGTGGCTGGGCCCCTGCGAGATTGTTTACATCTGGTCTGTCTGCAACTGCTTTGGCCTCAACTTCGAGCTCTGGGTGCAAAAGTTTTTCCAGAGGGAGCCTTTTGCCAGCGTGGAGGTAAGAAACTCAGCAGCGACCTGCTGTTGGGAGGGGTGGGTCTAGTGGGGTGGAGTGACATGTCAATGTATGAGAACAAAATGTGACTTCAGTGGAGCGGCACCAGCTCACGTCCTGGGGCCCAAAATGCCGACGTCACCCACCATGTTAGATCTGCAAGACAAGGGGGAGCTGGAAGGCAGAACCGCAACGTGGTAGCTCTCCCGGGCAGTCTGCCACAGAACTGCCATCATCCCTGCCTCAGTTTCCCCTTGGTTTTTTCAGGGACGGAACCTTGATCTATGAGTCTGAGCCTGTAGCTCCAGACCTCCAGCTGGGCTAGTTCCATCTCTCCCCTTTCAGGACTGAAAGGAGTCTGGTCTGACCCAAAGCTCATCCTGCTTCTTTAGTGAAGCACCTCTCAGTAGTCCCTGGAGTTTGGGCTTTTGGCTCGGAGATCTCTCTACTCCCCTTTTCTGGGCTGCCCACTTTATAAGTGTCTTCTCCCCAACAGGGTGGAACGAAAGCCAGTTAAAGCAGGAACAGAAAGTATTACTGTTATTGTTAAAACAACAAGGAGTCCGGTGGCACTTTAAAGACTCACGAATGTATGAAGGTTTTGGGGCACAAGCTTTTGAGAGCTAAAGCTCGCTTCCTCAGATGCTGAAGAGAAAATGTGTGATTGTCACCACCCTGGCCAGGGCTCTCAGTGGTCTGGACTTCATCATTCCCATGCGGAGCTAGCAGTGGGATCCAGTCTAGGGTCTCTAGGTGATGCAGTCAGAAACTTGTACATATAAACTTTCTACTGTGTCCCTGGGCTCATTCCTAGCTCAAGTGGCTCCTGCCCGAGCATTTTCTCGGATGCTCACCAGAAACAAAACATTTAGGCTGTGTCTAGACTGGCAAGTTTTTCCGGAAAATCAGCCGCTTTTCTGGAAAAACTTGCCAGCTGTCTACACTGGCCGCTTGAATTTCCGGAAAAACACTGACGATCTCATGTAAGATTGTCAGTGCTTTTCCAGAAATACTATGCTGCTCTCATTTGGGCAAAAGTCTTTTTCCGAAATACTTTTGCGCAAAAGGGCCAGTGTAGACAGCATAGTACTGTTTTCCGCAAAAAAGCCCCAGTCGCGAAAATGGCGATCGGGGCTTTTTTGTGGAACAGTGCATCTAGATTGGCCACGGATCTGCCAATCTAGACGTGCTTTTCCGAAAATGCTTTTAACGGAAAACTTTTCTGTTAAAAGCATTTTCGGAAAATCATGCCAGTGTAGACGTAGCCTTACTCTGTATCCAGAGGGAATTATTCCAGAACTTTTTTTTTCATTCTGAAAAAAAAGACCAAGTTTTTAGCCCACTTAGGGATGAAAACAAACATTGAAAGATTGTAACTTCCCACAGGCCAGAAATGCCATTTTTGATCCGTTCTAGAGACCGGAATCCCATGTACGTCTGGGAGCTAGTGGTCCGTAGGAGGATGCAGCCAGGAACCATGCAGGGAAACATTTCTGTTCTTTGCACCAAACTGAAACCACTGACTCTGACAGCGATGCTGTAACCATCCCCTTGCTTCTGCAAATTGAACTTTTAACCAGCTTATAACACACCGAGCCAGAGAAATCTTATTGCCCAAAGCACCACAATTTTCAGCTCCAAGGATCCTGAGATTTCTAGTTCTCTTTGAAGATTTCTATAAAAACCACTTCCCATCTCCACTGAGGATTAGGTGCAACTAGCACATTCTGCTCTTTCACCGGGGTTTATGTTTTTTTTAAACCTTAACAGCTTCTAGCTAATGCTAATAACAGTCATGACGCAGGAGAGCTTTCGCTGGCTTGCAAGCCTGCCTCCACACTGTGGGCTATTGCTAAGGTGGACAGGAGAGGCAAACACCTCGCCCTCTGAACTGTGCAAACTTTGGGCCATTCCCAAGTCTATCAGAGCGGGACTCAGTGCAGGATCAGAGGAGAACTTTTCACACACCTTTGTGCTCCCCCATTTTTTGAATCCATGTGTGCTAAAAGAGCCAAAACGCAGCAGTATTCGACAACTGGCTGCCCATGGCCCCAGGGAACGATTCCAACGATGGGAGGGCAGCCCCATGTAGCAACATCCCCCACCCTTGCCCCAGGCTAGTCCTCCTCTCTGGAAAGATGGTGGCAAAAGGGCTGCTCCACCGAATATATCGCAGAGCAAAGGAATCATTAAAAAAAGGGATAGAGAATAAGACAGAGAATATCTTATTGCCCTTATATAAATCCATGGTACGCCCTCATCTGGAATACTGCGTACAGATGTGGTCTCTTCATCTCAAAAAAGATATACTGGCACTAGAAAAGGTTCAGAGAAGGGCAACTAAAATGATGAGGGGTTTGGAATGGGACCCATATGAGGAGAGATTAAAGAGACAGGGACTTTTCAGCTTGGAAAAGAGGAGACTAAGAGGGGATATGATAGAGGTCTATAAAATCATGAGTGGGGTGGAGAAAGTGAATAAGGAAAAGTTATTTACTTGTTCCCATAATATAAGAACTAGGGGCCACCAAATGAAACTAATGGGCAGCAGGTTTAAAACAAATTAAAGGAAGTTCTTCTTCACACCGTGCATCGTCAACCTGTGGAACTCCTTGCCTGAGGAGGTTGTGAAGGGTAGGACTATTACAGGGTTTAAAAGAGACCTAGATAAATTCATGGAGGTTATGTCCATTAATGGCTCTTAGCCAGCATGGGTAAGGAATGGTGTCCCTAGCCTGTTTGTCAGAGGGTGGAGATGGATGGCAGGAGAGCTGCTTGATCATTACTTATTCGGTTCACTCCCTCTGGGGCACTTGGTATGGGCCGCTGTCGGCAGACAGGATACTCGGCTGGATGGGCCTTTGGTCTGACCCGGTATGGCCGTTCTTATGTTCTTGAAGCAGCTTTAGTATGGAGCAACCCTGCACCATGTGCCTGCCTGCTGACAGAAAGCTCCCAGTTCTTCCATTCCCATCAGCCCTCTGTCCGGAGGAGTTAAGTGTCTCCATCCTGCGAGACAAAGGAACCTATGACAAGACTCAGGGGATAATCCAGGCGTGGGCGGGTGTGCGGGGGATACGACGTGGGCAGGGTTTGCTTGATGAGGTGTCTATGAGAGCACCACCCCATCCAGGGACCCGGATGCCAGGGCAAGCTGGCAGTTGTGTGGGGGGACGGAAGGCGGTGGCCTCAGGCTGGCCCCACTCACACCTTAGCCTGATTGCTGCACACTCCGCTCCATTGGGGGGATCCTCATGCTGCTATGGGCACTTCGCACGGAGCAGAGCTTTGTGGGCAGCAGGCCCAGCTCTGGGAATCCCTCCTGGAAGATGCTGAGCTCCCCAGCTCCCATAGAGTCCACGGCTCAGCATTTTGCAGAATGGGGACCTTGTGTTCCAACTGGAAACAATGAATAGGCTGGGGTGGAGGGGGAGTTAGACTAGACATGAAGGATGGGCCAGGGGTTAGCCTGCTACATCTGCCTTCAGATTCCCTGTATGACCTCGGGCAAGTGACTTGGTCCATTGAACTGAGGGGGAGGGGGAGGAGAGGGAAGGGCCAGGCCTTAGTGGCCCCATTCCTCCATTCCCCATCTGTATAATGGGAGCAATAGTACAGTTGTCCCTCCCAGCGATACTCTGAGGATAAAGACCGCGTGGCACTCAAATACCATGCATGTGGAACCTGAGGACACGTCTAGACTTGTCATCACTTTCGAAAGAGGATATGCAAATTCGGCGTGGCTTTGCATATCTTCTTCCCATCGCTTTTTTGAAAGAGGATTGTTCAAAAATAAAAATAGTCTGGAAGCGTTTTTTTCAACCTCCCCTTTAAAAAAAATAACAAGAAAAG